TTTTTTTTTTTTTTTTTTTGCAGAATGGCCATTACTTAATTCTAACTTCGATTTCTGTTTGAATCATAATATTCTCGTTTCGAAATTATACAGCTCTAATTAATTATATAAAATTTTAGAATCACGAGAAGTAATGCACATAATAAAAATAATAAGTAAAATATATATATATATATATAGAGAGAGAGAAAATCTTAATTTGTTGTAAATCTTTGAGCGAAAGATCGAGAAATAAAATTCAATTGTCCTTATTATATACAAAGAATTCCAAGCGTAACAATAGTTTATCTATCAAAAAAAAAAAAAATCCGAAATAATAAATAAACGCAGGAAATGGGGACGAGCAGAAAAGATGATTGGATTTATATCAATTAACATCGAAATTATCGAAATGATTCGAGCGAAAAAGTTCGTAGAATTTCCAGGGATTGAAATGATGAATTCTTTGCGATGAAATTACGCATTCTTTTCTTTTTATTTTCAGGTGATGCAGCTGATGTCGGTGTGGGGTCCATTTATCTACGCCGGCTGTTTCGCGGCAACGCTCTCAACAGCATTGACAAACCTGCTGTCGGTGCCACGGCTGATACAAGCGTTGGGACAGGACAGGATTTACCCCGGTTTGATTTATTTTAGCAAAGGTTACGGGAAACACGGTGAACCTTATCGCGGCTACGTTCTCACGTTCTTCGTCGCGGTGCTGTTCCTTCTGATAGGTACGAGCGAGACATTTTCCCAAGCATTTTACCGAGGAAACAGTAAAACTCATCGAACACCGTCTCTCTGTTGTTTCCAGCGAATTTGAACGCAGTCGCGCCTCTGATCTCGAACTTTTATTTAGCCTCGTACGCGTTGATTAACTTCTGCACGTTTCACGCGGCGCTTATTCGGCCGCTTGGATGGCGACCTACTTTCAGAGTAAGTGCAATCGTTATTGAGAATAATATTTCTCCGAGGGGACGCACCTCAATTACCGCAATTAGCGGCGATGACGATTGAGGGGAAATTCTTTCTGCTCTACAGTATTACAACACCTGGCTGTCTTTGTTCGGTTTCATCACGTGCGTGTCTATAATGTTCCTCATTGACTGGGCCACATCGCTCATCACGTTTGTCATTATCTTCGCGTTGTACTTGATCGTGGTATATCGGAAACCAGACGTGAACTGGGGTAGCAGCACGCAAGCACAAACGTACAAGACTGCACTCTCTATCGTTTATCGGTGAGCATATCATTGTAATGTACCTTTCTGATCTTTTCTCGAGTACGATTTTTTTTTTTGGAGAAGGGAGGGGGTTACACAAATTCAAATAGCAACGCAAACGTTACCATTTTGTATATGCGGATTAATAGATTGCGGATCTTTATGAAGATATTTGCACTGGAGCTATCAGACATCTTACACCTTACAGAGAAATTCAAGTGCACGAGAATAGGGATTCGTGAATATCTGAAAGAAATAATCGAAAATCCAAGGTGTCTCTGAAAATTGTAAATCTGTCAAATTTCTAACGAAAAATGATCAAAGAACCGAGAAACGTTGAAGATCAAACATACACTGTTATAAATTTTCCGTAAAAGAAAATTCAAGAACAAGAAATGAAAAGAGAAGTTTATTATACAGCAAAGAATACAAACATTCACATACATAATATTTATAAGATTTCCGTGAGAGATTACGAACTGACACTTTCAATTTTAATTTAAGGTATTTAAGGATGCAAAAGTGCACGTAGTATGAAAAATACTCGTCATAATATAACTAACAAATAAAATGTTCCCTCAGTTTCCATTTCTTTAACAATGTTCTTTAACAATGTAGAAATGTGTATTTGCCGATATATCAGCAGTTTACAGATTGAAAATGCATCGTTCGTCAATTTTCTGTTCGCAGCAGGACTCGTTTCTATTCTTATTTGATTGTGATCGAATTAAATCGTTGCAGATTGAATTCCATCGACGAACATGTCAAAAATTATGCACCTCAAATTTTGGCACTGAGCGGAGCCCCTGGCGCCAGGCCAGCGTTGCTGCATCTGGCAAATCTCATCACGAAAAACCACTCGCTGTTGATTTCCGGTGAAATACACCCGGTACACAGTTTAAATAAACAGATTTACACGCCTGATCTTTTGATCTTCTCTAATAGTTTCCAACTATTTCGTTTTCTCTTCTCGATTCTTTTCCTTCTTTGTTTTTATAATAGCATCGTAAATAGCATTTGCACCAAATTCGATCTTTCATAGAATTGCATGTTTCTAACTATTTACTTTAATCGCATTTTTTCCAAATAGTTAGTGACTGCCAATTTTCATAATAGCCTTTAGTAATAGTCTTGTATATATATCATGATTTTTGAAAGGACTCGTTTTATTACCAACTTTCTTCTTCTTTTATTGTCGTA